GGTTTGAAAGTTTGTTTTGTTGTCGTGTAACGAAGACTATTTCGATTTAGATTTTCGGACAATTTCATTTTGGTAGCAATTTTGAAGAAAATTGGGCAAATTTTCAAATTTGATGATTTCAGTTGAGCAGCTTGGGTAATTAAAAAATGCAATTTTTCGAAAACCGCTCATAATGCCAAGTTTCTGTTAACACCGTATTAAAACGCCTAATATTCCACCATTGAGGCAAAAGTTTCACTTTGATACCTTGTTTGAGGTAATGTTTGCAAATTTTTCAAAATATTGTGCCTAATTTAGCCAATTGCTTCAAAGCTATTTTCAAAAACCACTTAGGTTTGAAAGTTTGTTTTGTTGTCGTGTACCAAGACTATTTCGATTCAGATTTTCCGACAGTTTCATTTTGGTAGAAATTGTGAAGAAAATTGGGCAAATTTTCGAATTTGATGATTTCAGTTGAGCAGCTTGGGTCATTAAAAAATGCAGTTTTTCGAAAACCGCTCAGAATGCCAGGTTTCTTTGAACACCGTATTAATACGACTAATATTCCACAATTGAGGCAAAAGTTTCACTTTGATACTTTGTTTGAGGTTATTATTGCAATTTTTTCAAAATATTGTGCCTAATTGAGCTAATTGCTTCAAAGCTATTTTCAAAAATTAATTCTTCCAAAACCACTTATGCTTGGAAGTTTCTTTTGATGTCGTGGGACGAACAATAGTTCGATTCATATTCCCCACAAGTTTCATTTCGATCAAAAGTTTGGGAACATTTTGACAAATTTTCAAAGTTGCTCATTGTAGTCGGGCCATTTGGATAATTGAAAAAACACATTTTTTGAAAACCGCTCAAAACGTCGACTTTCGTTTAACACTATTTTGAGACTAATATTTTTCTGCATATTGTGGAAAAATTTCACTTTGATAGAGTGTTTGAAGTAATTTTGGTAATTTTTCCAATAAGAGAGCGTTTAACTCAATTAATAACTGCAAGGCCAGCTTCAAAAATTCATTCTTCAAAAGCCGCTTATATTTGGAAGCTGCTTTTTATGGCACGTGACGACAAATGTTTCAGATCATATTGTCCGGAAGTTTCATTTCAGTAACGATTTTGACAAATTTTCAAGGTTAGTGATTGTAGTTGAGCCATTCGCAAAATTTAAAAAAACATATTTTTCAAAAACCGCAGCAAGCGCCGACTTTTGCTTATCACCATTTTAAGAAGCTTGCTTTTCCAGATGTTGTACAAAAGTTTCACTTTGATTCCTTCGAGCTAATTTTGCTAAATTTTGCAAAATTGAACGCCAAAGCTATTTTGGAAAAATGGTTCTTTTGATGCTGCGTGACAACGAATATTTTGATTGATAAATAGAGACAATAAATTTCTGAAACCCAGGAATGAATTTCATTTGTAATTGAAGACAACGAGCTGAAACAATTGCAGATGTTTAAAGAGCTCGGAAAGTCCTGCATTTCGTTTTATTAATTAATGCGCACCAGCAATTTAACGATGACTAGTTAGACAAGGATCAAAGTTGCACAGTGTAACATGATTTAAAGGGCCCATAACTTGTATTTAAACAAGGGCCCCAATTAAGTTAATTTACACGATCGGGAAAAAGCCGCGATAAGCTGGAAAATTACACGTTGTAGTTTATGGGTGTGTACCTTCACTTTTCGTTCTTGCATTTATCTAAAAGGCCGACGTGTATAATTGCTCCATTATCTGCGATAGGCATCTTTCACATGCTCTAACTGGCTGTAACATATCAATTTATTTATCAGCGTACCTCTGAGGTTAATAAACGTCTACCGACGCTTTATCTCTTTATTTAATTACGAGGCCTACTGTTGGCGATTGCGATCTTTACACGTACGCGAAACAAATGAGTAGTAACCGAATCATCTTGCGATACTACTCATATGAGTATTCTGAAAGTATCGAAAGTATTACCTGCTCACAATTTTATTGACTGAGTCGATATTGAGTGACTCTACGTATAATCGTCATACACACATTTTAAGTATACATTTTCGATGAGTTTTTCAACACCGAAATTAACTGTTACCGTGAATTTTAACTGTAAAAAGGCCGTTTAATTCAGAGATTCTCATTAAATTAATGGAATATATTTTAATGCATTTATTGCCATCAGGTAAACAAAAAATATTCTTTCTGAAGGTTTCCCAAAAAATCAGTTGCTGCAAATATTTAGAAGGCCAGCTTTTTCTATTGTGCGTCATAGCAGCACCAGCTTTAGGAAATAGATATTCAGTTATAAAAGTTAGGAAATACCGTTTGCATGTTTCCCAATGGGCCACTTTTCAAAGATATTATTCAGTTTCATATTGTTTTGATATCGGCAATAAGTTTTAAAACTGACTATTCAGAACCATTAATACGTATCTTTTTTATTCAACGCACAATTTCACGAACCTTAGAATTAGCTGTTTTCAGATTTGGTCACTTTAAAGCCTCTTCACCGATGTGATTTATTGTGTGAGCCAAACAGGGCAAATATTTCATTGAGCGTATGAATAGCTAGATAGAGCATATGCATTTTAATATTTTGAAGAAAATGACATGTCACACCTAAGAAACCTCGCTCGTTCATTGTTTCAGTCCAAATGTCCAATCTGAGACAAATATTGCTAATGTTTGACAAAATTTAGCTTTAGCTGCTACAAGCTTCATATTTTTTGTGGGTCATCTTTTT